ATGTTATGTACATCAAATGGGAGCACTAATTGAGCACTAATTTTTTGCACTATCCAGGGGTGCATTTTCTCACCCCCAAAAAACAACCCCCAATTTACCACCCCCCACCCCCCAAAAAAACCTCCCCATAATATTTTTTTGAGAGCACTAATTGAGCACTAATTTTTGGCATTATCAGTTTTAATTTTTCATTACTCCTGCCAAAAATGATTTTTCAACCCCTAATTTCAAAAAAACCCATGCCCAAAAAATTTTCCAGTTGAGAGCACCAATTCTAATTTTAGTGGCACTAATTAGCACTAATTAAGCACTTATTTTCCACCGAAGGATTTTTCATTTTTCGAAAATTGTCGGGCTGGAGAGAATCGACCATTTTAAGCTATATTTCATTCCAATAAGATGGATACATCGGTTATTCACAAATACAAACTGCAACAATTGAAATATAGTTTTTAATAAATCCAACATCACACATAAAATCGATGAATAAAACTACCGTCTATCGTCCAGCAATCGAGTTAATGATGTGCTTTTTTTTACAATTAATCACTGGGATAATTGACGAACATAAAAACAAAACAAAACAATTTAATTGTGTTCGGCGATGAATCCATGTTTCACAAAATCGCGTTTAGTACGTCGGAGAAGCTATACAATTTCTATGCTGAAGCCCTATTAGCACAAAAAATATGAAGTCTAGTTAACTAGTTCATCCATATTGAAACCAAAACAAATCAATCTATCGCGAGTATTGTTGAATTTCACCCGGATGAAATTTCACTGTCAAACATAATATATTCGTATGATTGTAGTTTATTGTTTTTATTTTTTTCAACTGCAAAGCAACAGCCCTTAGATTTAACACACAAAATAAAAAAAAACAGAGAAAGAAATAGTAAATAATTGAATGTACATAAATACCTTGTGACGTTTCATCTTCATCATCGTCATCGTCGTCATTTTCATTGTCAACATTTTCGAATGAATGTCTTTGGAGGACTGACGTTGAGTTCCGCTTTAGAATATGATCACTTCCGTTGTTGTCGATGTCATCGTCGCCGATATTGTTATTGTCGACTGGGATCTCTATAACACTACTACTACCGCCACCACCACCTCCGCTATCATCTATGCATACTGACGCACTTGATGAATCCCGTTCTGAAACGATCGTTCGCTGCACATACGGCAAACTGTTTGTTTCGAATATCACGTATGGTGTATTACAAGAAGTTGTACATGAAGATGTTGAACACGAGGTGCTAAAGAGAGGCAAGACAAAAAGTTCACAAATTAAATCGGTGCGACCTTTAATTCGTTGAATGTTCCGGAAAAATGATTAAAACTATAACTCATTGGCCCATAACATTGGCCAGGACACATTTGTTTTGTATAATGTAAACATGCAGCACGTGATGCATTGAACTCACCTTAATGTTTGTTGTTCGCCAGATGTAACGGTGAGTGTATCGTCGCCATTGCATACGATTATATCAGCGTTTGTATTCTCAATCAAGATTGTATTGTTGTTTGACTGTAGCTGATTGATGGTGGATGTGGTAACAATCGGTGTGGCAGCACTGAAAAAGTATTGTGTGGTTGTGTGTGGACCGTCCGATGAATCCAAGTTAAGCTTCACGGAATCCGCCAATATGGTGTCGATTTGACTATTTGTATCTGCTATGACATGTTCACTACCACTACCACCAACACCAACACCAACACCAACACCACCGCCAGTGCCGACAATCCGAACATTGTTAACTGCATTTGTTGCAGCTGATGTGCTCAAGCTCACATTGCTCAGCACAACAATCGTCGAATTTGGATGAATTTTATGATCTTCGTGCATTGTTTTTCTCATTTTATTAGGATGATGATGCTCTTTCAGTTGAATCACAGATTATACTATTATACTTTTGTCCAATTCTATTTGTTCTATTTCTGTTTTTTTGTACTTTGTTTAACACTTTACACTTTCACAGGAGATTATTCAATTCTTTAATTTGTGTGTTGTTCATTTTTGTCGTAGTTGTGACCGAGTTATGGCTGTCTAGGTTTCTATTTTGTGGCTTATTTATAGGTTCCTTTTCATGAATCGTATGCATATAGTATGATCCAATTCCCACAATCTAAGTTCAAATTGAACTAAATTCCTTCTAAGTTAAACGCTTAGAAACGTTGCATCGTGAGTGTGTATGTGTGTGTTTCTCTCTCTCGCTCTCTCTCTTTCTTTCTCTGTCACTTTTAGTTTGTTTTGTTTTGATTTCAGTGTGGGTGGACTTGTGTATGTATACGGTGTCTGTCGTGAACCTTAGCTTTCACGAAGATTCAATTCCTTTCCTCTCGATAAAACTTATTTGTGTGGGTTTTTTTTTCTCTTGTTCAAACTTATTATTCTATACAGCGGTTCAGCGTTTGCTGCATAAACATGTTTATGTGTTGAAATTAGTTGACGTTTTGATTTGGTATTTAGGTTCGGGCTTACGCGCGTAAATGTGCGATTTAATGGTGATAATATTGATGCTCTGGCTCTCTTTCACTTGTTGTTTACTTGCTGGTAGCTGACTGTTGGCTTTTTATTTCTACTTTTAGTTTTACTATATTCGTTAGAACTATACTTACATCAAATATATACAATTCCGCTTTAAAAGCGAATCACAGATGCTAGACACACAACTGAAAGAGAGATTAATAAGTGAAGAGAGAACTACGCGAGAACACCAGAAATCCAATTCACAAGTACGCGTGTTGCTCTTGCACTCTCGACTGGTTGGAGCTTCAATTTTTCAAGTTTCTCGCCTTCAAATGTATGCGCGGATATATATACTCTCTTTCGCTTTCTGTGTGTATGCTATGCATATATTGGTACGCATATGTACACAAATATTCTATATATATATAGAATATGTGCGCCTAAGTGCGAATGCTGACGATTTGGAATCGAGTGTGGACGATCCATGTGCATAACACATCATGTAAAGCACAGCACCGCACAGTACAACATATCGAGTGAAATGCTCCTCTTTTTTCTATGTAATAAGCGTTTACTCGGCTGAGTATATAAACATACGGAGAAGGAAAACAGAGAATAGAACCTGAAGCTGAATATTAATCTGAATCAGAAACGGCAACACGACACAAGCGACAATATATGGGAAACAAAGGAGCCGTACAGTATTTATGGCAAAATTGTACACACTGCTGACACACTAGAGGCTGTGTGTCGTCGTCGTCGTCGGACGAATCTGGAATTCGTTGTGCTAATGTGCACGTTCCCAATGTAGTGCAATGTCGCTGCCGCAGTGAACGCAGTTGTCTTGTCGTATATCTCTCGGCTCAGTAGAATGGATGGCAATATCGTTATAAAACAATAAGCATGACCACCTTTTTTAATGTTGCACCTATTCTCCGCTTAATCCATTCGCTTTCTTATCGCTGCATATAACTTGAAAGGTTTTTTTTCGTTTTGTTCTTGCTGCAAAGCTTCTTTCGATGCGGTGGTATCCGAAACGGTCTCATGTGTCAGCTCGTGCACAAGTGGCGAGTATGTAATTCCGGTTTCAATTGTTGCATCAATGTTGTCAAATAAATTGCTAAACTTGCATACTGTTGCTGTACTATTAGCAATAATGATGATGACCGGCAACCGACGATTAACAAAAACAAGAAAAATCAACAGCCAAATGGTAACAATGATCCAATTAGAATATGCTTCACCTTTTGGATCAGATGGTATTCCTTGAATATTGAATAGAATATTTGTCCGTTTAATTATGGATCACACAAGACACAATAATCGTTCAGTTTCAGAGCTTTTGAGTTTTTTCAGTTTTTACTTGTTTTGAATGTTCACTTTTTTATCACTTTTGTTACTGTTTCTGTTGAACTAGTTTAATACAGCTTGAACGCATCGATTTTGTATGTTTCAAACCTCCTGGTTGATTGAGCCCATAAAAATGTTACCTGCAAAAATTCACAACGTTTCAATTGACATTTCCGATTAGACCACCCCCATACATTTACATAAGTTCACCGCAAAAAGGTACGGTAGGTAGGCTACGGCACAAACATAATTTTGACAACATCAACACCCATTTTAATTCTGAATCCCCGACTAAACCCATCATATTTTTTTGATATCACTGATCGAAATTTATGTATAAATGTAATGGAGTAAATAAAACTTAAAATTTATTTTCCATATATTATGCGTCGCGTGTACTAATATTCTCGGTAATGACGGAATAGCTACATTATCATTGTCAGCGTCCAGTTCATTTACACATGAACCTAATCGAATAATGGCCAAACACACGTACTATTTTATTTTTTCATCCAAAACAACAAAACACAACACATAACACAATACAAGCTGGCGTAGCACACTAGAAAAAGGCTGAAAGTGTTTGTGGTTTGGGAATTAAATTTTATGTACATATCGACATATGTATTTTTGAAAAAAAAAAAACTGTTTGTCCGTCTGTTAAAGGTACTTTCGCGAACAGACAAGCAAAAAAACATGCTGTTAATTATTGAATTGTACGTGTGTGTGTGTACATATGTGTGCTGTTTTTTCGCTCTCTCGTTACCGTTCTCGCTCGCTTGCTACTATGTCTTATTTATTTGCTTCTTTTTTCTTCCTGATCTGCTTCGCGGATTTGACTGTTGGCGCATTGATTTGGTATGAATTCCAAGAAAACCAAGGAGCTACATACTAAATGGACTGTTTGGCTGCTGGCTAGGCTTGCAGTGTCGTTATGCACCCGAGTCATTATTACTCATTTCTGTACATAATTTAACCATTCAGATGCACAGAAAACAAAACGCACAACACTGTTGCTGTCTCCCTCTCTCGCTCACTCGCTCGCTCACTTTGTCTCTCTTTATTTTTTGTTTATTGTATGAAAGGAAAACTGAACGCACAAGCATGCCCATTCAAAACGAATTGAATGAGAACGAGACGCGAGCAACGTAGAGTCCCATCGTTGATAGAACTGGTATATTGTTATTCTTATTCTTGTTCTGTGTATGTTCTTTACCGTCGTGGTTTTAGCTTCGATATTTGCATCTCTTTCACCCTTTGCGCTGATTCGCAATTATTCTCTTCTCTCTCACACGCACACACACTTTTGTACTCTTTTTTCACAATATCCATTTTCGTTATTTGGTTTTCGTACTATTCAATCGAATTTGTGCTCCACAGTAGATATGGAATGTTTGGGCAGTTTCCAAATCTGATACAAACAAATTGCGATTATTCACCTTTATTATTTTGAAACTATGACTATGGTGATATTTACAAAACAAAACAAAAAAAAACATTTATAAAATGCTATGAACTTGTTGTGAGAATTTTTAGGTAGAAAATTGTCGCCTAGTATTCTAGATAAAAAGCTTTTGGTTGCTTTTAATGAAAAAATACAACAAATATGAAATTTTATTGAGCATTTCTTCACCTCTCTAATCGAAAGTGATTCGAGGCATTTATTTCAATGGTGTTTCAAGAGGACAAATAAATGAATAAGAATGTATTTTTTCAGGCTTTGGTTTAACCGTTATTATGACCGTGCACATCAGTTGGAATGTATGGATGTTTTGAGAAGAGGTATATGACATTTACGTAAAGTCTTTTTTGTTCACTATGATGCCATTTGACATTTTCAATACATTTTTGAATTCAAACATGATTCCTATTTGTACAAGCAGTAAATTTGAAATTGTGATTTTAGCAAAATGACAAAAGGTGTATTTAGCCTCTTGAAATGGGTCGCTGATGGATTTTCATCAAATGATGATATTTGCTCGATAGAATATACTTCGGCCGTAGCATCAATTTCATACGAATATTCGATGCGGTAGTGAGACAAAGACGCTCCTAGACATGACAATGATCGTAAATCGTGCATCAAGAAAATCAAAAGGCAAAGGCAATTTCGTGTTTTTCGTTGCTGCTTAGTGTGTAGTAAACTTGTATATACAACACACGCGCGCGAACTCATCCCAGTTGAATGGCGTATCGTTCGTTGTGTATGTGGAGGCTGTTGCTGCCAATGCAAAAACCACAATGATGGTTTATTCGTTCGCGCACGCATATAGCCAGACAGATATAGCAAGAGACGCATACAGAAAGGATAAAAATAATGAATGCCAAAATTGAAAAAGAAGAAGAATGAACGGAATTATCATGAAATTGGCCGCTCTGTCTGATGCTTTTTGAAACATGTCCCACACTCATTCACACATCACACACGGTTTTCAAGTGCTCGACAACGACGACGACGACTGCCGCACTAATTTTTATAATATCTCTCTCTCTCTCTCTCTCGCTCTCTTGCTCTCTTGCTCTCACTCTGTGCAGTCTCAAATGTGTGCAGGTTTTTTTTTTATTTTCATCTTTTGTCGCCATTATTGTCTCGCTGCTGCGAATACAGATTTAAGCGTTGAACTTATTTATTATTCGTTATTGCAACTCTTTTCCGACTGATGTTCAAATAGTTCAACAATCGGCACTTTTTTGCTTGCGGATGAGTTGATTTGTGATTCATGATTTTACTGTCTTTTTAAAAGCATCAACACAACGAACCAAATCAGCATTCCAAAAACGAGATATTTACTTATTATGTCTCTTAGCCGCCAATGGCAAATCTGTCGTTTTTTTTTGCGACTTATTATTGTTATTGGCTATTATTGTGCGGCCCGGTTCGATCTCACATGAATGTAAGAGACATGGTTTGCTTGTGTTGGTCAAAAATAATAACAAGCATTTATGTAATGTAGCCGAATTGAAATGTATATGGGAATGTAATGCTACGAACACGCTTACAAGCTCATTCATATTCGTTACACAACATACCGCCGCGTCTTTCAGGTACATATATACATTAAATAGACAAAACACACTCAACCGCGATACTATTTTTTTCACTGTGTTCACTCCAGAATCAAGACAGAATTATGGATTTTTTTTTCGCTGCTCTATGCTTGTGTACTGTGCGCCCTTGCTTTAGCCAGCTAAATGGATGTTTTTTTGTGGTTGTTTCGATTGGATTTGTCGATTTTTGTGATACGGTTTTTATTTTTGGTTTGGTTAAAGGCTTCGATTGCGTTGGATTTAATTGTGTTTGTGTTATGTTTGTTGTTGTTATTGTTGTTGTTTTTGGTTTTCTTGTATTCTCAAAAAGGCAATAATTAGATGACTGTGCACGGGTTTGATTTATATGAAAAAACTGAAACAATTACACATGTGTGTTTTCTATGTACTAAAAGGCAAACACACATGTACGATGTTTGTATATGTGTATGTGTCCACACTTGAAATGTTTTAGTTAGTTCAGATCGTCCCATTCATATACGCATATATAACAAAAATTGTTTTAACATTGAATTTCGATCGATTCCGACCTTCTTAACCGACAGCTTGTTGGATGCAGCAAATTCGTTGGGAGAACATTAAAATCGTGATGGAACAAAGCTTTCGGAAAATTCCCGGTGTTAATTCAGTACACTCTAAACACATCAACAACGAGCTACGAAAACATTATTTAAAAAAAAAAAATTCAATGTCAGATGGAACACAATCACATGCACACTAGAATTATTTTCATTTCATTTTGATTTAATTCAACAAACAATGTGAAGTATTTTAGTCGTCGTTTGACGCAGTTGTTTCACTTTTATTCACACAATTAGATTGATGTTGCTATTTTTAGCAGAAAAAAATAATAAAATCGTATTTCGGCTCACAGTAATTCCAATGTTTGATTTGTTTATAATATTTTTTGCTCTCTTTTTAATCGTATTTTTGTGAAATGAAAATCAAAAGTTTGTGTGTCAAAATGTAGGTCTCTAGGTTATATTACACTCCGTGTATTCGGGTATAAATCAGACAAAACTACATGACACAATCGTCGTATCGTATATTCATTCGTCGCATTTTGCCTGAAGTCGATTCATATACGGACACACATAGATGCGCACATTTAGAACGAGTGCTACGGTTGTATGCGTACACGTTCATGACTTGCGATAGCATCCGCATATGGCTGTTGTTTAGATTGCTACCCATGTGTATTTCAATACAGCATTTAATTCTGCAGTAGGATTGTTCTATTTCTTGTTAGTCACTGTTCCCTGAACACGCACACATCATACCGCGCTCGATGTGGATGTGCGCGCTAGCTGTACAAGCGCTACGAGCACAGACAAAATCAAAGGGAGCTCAGGGAATATATTGGCGAGCCTGTCGTCGTGAAGCTACTACTGCTTGTGTACACTGTACAATCCACATACATGCATATGGCATAAGAGCGATTCTAATTCGATCGACTGTGTGTATCAGAATGAGACAGAATGACTGAACAGGCGACGACAACGACGACGACGACAACAGTGGCGAAGAAGAAGAAGCACGACCGAGAAACATCCGAACGAAATGAACAACGTTTCTGACCAACAGCAATACCGACAATATAGGTTGAACTTGCAATATTATAAAACAACAACGACGACGTATTTGCACTAATTCTTTTTCGCTTCTTCGTCTCTCTCTCCTCCTCTCGCTGTTTTTTCTTTCCTTTCTGGTTATCCATTTTCGTTCTCTAGATGTTATGTTTACATATATATTCGTTGTTGTTAGTATATTGTTGTTCTGGTTTTCGCATTGTCGTCGGCGGCCAACGCCGAACTTGCCATAAAAATGTATTTGGGTTGTTATGTTATTTTGTTATGCGTTTTATATGTATATGTGTACCACATACTTCAGTATGTCTTGTTTCACTTTCGATGATACATTCCATGCGCTTTTTTCGCTATTCAAGTCTCTTTCACACCAAAACCATTTTTGTATGGGTTGTTCGATTCCAATATGATTCTTTGTGAGATTCATTCTGTTGCTTCGTTTGTTAGGCTGATCATGGAATAAGCGTTTCTCACATTGTTTCTACACGGTTTTTTTATGAAACAATGCAAAGTGTTCATTACAACCTCTTCTTATAGGATTTAATTCTAATTCGGAATTGAATATGACGATTTATGGCCAGTCTATTCATTTACCACGGCGGCACCCATACGCGTGCATGAGTCTAACGCACACCGATCTATGTGTGATTTGCTTCTCAGTTTCATTCGACTGCTGGTGCTGCTGTCATTCTTGCTGCTTAAAATATACAAATGAATTCGTTCATTCATTCAATTTCGATATTTTGGCGTATATATTCGGCTTTGTTTCTTCCCCCTTTTTTCGCCACTGCGAACTCAATTTTGTATGCACATAAATATGCTGTCGCTGTTGCTGCTTAAATATGGAAACAGAAATAGAACGTTCGCCTAACATTTAAAAGTCAGTACAAGAAATGTTGGTCAAGTTGAACGGTGAGCGTTGTTGGTGTTTGGTCTAAATGAAAACAGACTGAGCTCAACTTATGCACACTGAGTCAATTTGTTGGCAACGAAATACAAAAAAACAACATGTATACGGTTTCAGCATACTAATTAAAGGATGCGAATTCTTGTGCGCAGTTCAAGTGTGAATTCAAAGCAATTGAAATGGTACGATCCAATGTATATTGGCTCGCGTATGTGTTGTGCATAGCTCTGCGCACACTTGCCTAGACAACAACCATATACAGAGCAACGCTAAACAGAGAAAAAATTCATCTATATAACTGAAAATAGGCATAAACAGCGAGACAAATGTGCCCCAGTACAAACTGAAGTGAGTCTCTTTTTTTTCTAGAATTAGTTTCAATCGCATCGCAAATTTTCCATACGCCACAAGACGCTTACATTGCCGCCTCTGTGAATCCAATTCAGATCGTCATTCATCGTTCACGAATGTCAAATTGGGCGATCAGATAGAAACCATATTCCGTTGCGCTTTGCTTTAATCTACTCGTGATAACTCATACTGATATCGGTTTGAGTGACTATTGCAATATTTGGTTTTGACGCATACATTGAAAATCGTATTTTTTTTCTCGCAAAGTGGAAAGCCATATAGTCACTTCACTTCACTTCGAATTGCAATCGAAAATTCAAACAAAGTTGAAGAGAAACAAACATGGCTGCTGTGATTCGAATAAGCTCCAATACATTACGGTGGCGCAATAGCTTTTCCAGCTTTTGCGGCTTTTCATATTTATACGCCATCTAGGGAAAATTGAACTGAATCAAGTGGATCGAGCTTTGGCAAATGTTGTGATTCAAATCAATCGTTTTTATTGAAGGCACAAACCTAATGAAAAAATCAATGCCCCAAGGTTATTAATAAGGGAAAACCGGAATCGATAATATATTTACTATACACAAATGGACAAGGCAAACCGTCCACCAATTGAAACTATTGCAAAATTACAACCTATTGCAATGAAGGTGGAACACTTTTCTACCGTAAAGTCATTAGACCAAAAAAAAGAGACAGAAGGATAATGAAACGTTGACACTCAATCAAATGCGTGTCAAAAGTGTTTTTTCTTTTCAATTGTCGCATCCTTCATTCAAGATAACATATCTCTATCGATGGTAAGCACGAATGATCGAAAATTTGCCAAGAAGAAAAAAACGCGCAAAAAATAAAAAAATATCGGTCGAACCGTTACATTTTTCATTCAATCACATTGACATCGCATCACTTCAATCAGACGCCGAGCAGGGAAAAATGGAAAGCAAAAAAAATGCAATACTGCATAATTCTCCTCCATTCACTCACTGTGTACCGCAGACTGTGAATTTCGTTTTAGATACAGTACACACTTCACACATATACGGCTACACCATATACTCCTAGAGTTATTTTTTTTTCCTTGAACAGAGCCAGTCGATTTCACACGAATAATCCACCAGCTAAAGACTATCAATTGAACTAATTGATTGAATTTGTAATCGGACATGTTCTTCGTTGTATTCGTAGCATCGTGTAAAGCTGTGGCATTCATGTTGACAGCATGATCGGAGGAGCAAAAAAAAGAACGCGACATGCAAAAAACCACATCGATACGATGGGACACTCAGGTTCATGGAGTTGTATTCATATGAAATTCATCGGAATGAGATTGTACCAAAAAAAAAACAGTGCACTGTACACATATGGCCTCAATGTTTGCCAGAATATTTTTCATTGACTGTGTTTGTGCCATAAACTTCCATCACTCCCATTCAGCTCGATTCGGTTCAATTATCTGCAAGGCGTATTGTTTGTATCGGGATCGGATTTAAATTCAATGCACTATGAAGCGTATCGATCAATTGGTTGGCTGGTGACTGACTGACTGACTGGCTGTGTGGCTGAAAATAGGAGTGAGACTCAATAATAATTTGCATCGTCCCGATTTCTGGGTGATGAATAAACGAATTTGTAATTTTTGCAAACGAAATATCAAGCTTGAGAGCAATTTATGGGCCAAGTGTGTGAATTGAACTATGGGGCTACAGTCACACACAAATAAAAACAAATTGTTGTATTCGGCCTGGACCGCAAACAGTGGTGACCATATACCAATGTGTTGATCATCGCTATTTTTTGGGATCGATTTTTTGTTTGTTTGGCACGCTTGATGAATGAGTTATTTCAATAGAGAATTTTATTGTGATGCTGTGGGGGATTTAATTTCCCTATGCCACTGCAATGAAAATACTAAGATCTGCATTGATATGGTGGAAGTGAATTAATCACAAGTTCATACTCAGAAACGGTTTATATATAAAAGTATACTTTTGGCCCATACAATAGCAACTGTTTTATGTACGATTTTAATCATGGGCATTTTTGTCTGAGTGGCAGAAAAACTGCTATATTAATGTCCAGTTGTATTTTTGAGATCTTGAATTGAATTGTGTTAACGATTGTGATGTTTCGACAATAATAAAAATATTTGTTGTTGTTAATCTAGCAATATATTCAAAATGATTGATTTTCAAACAAAAGAAATGACATACGATGTTGAAATACTTCTTTATCAAAACAGTCGCGGCTCTTATCGTTATCAGCAGAAATTAACAAAGAAGAAGATTTAATTTCGAAACAATGATGATTCTGAACCTAAACAATTGATGACATTTGTGTTGTGCTCGATTTGAACGATGAGTCGGACGGAATAAATTCAAAATCAAAAGTTCGAGTGTTGTTCTGCATCGTCTTTGTTCAGGAAATGAATTTAGTTGATGGATTAGTTTCGCTTTGGAATAGACGTTATAAAAGAACAAGGAGAGGAAAAGAATAGAAGAAAAAGTTCATTTTCTTTAAAGCAAATTGTGAAAAATTTCATATTGAGAGAAAAATGTTCACTGAAACATCCAACAAGAATGTCACTGATGTTCAAGAAAGTGTGACGGAGGAGCACCGCAAGCCTGACCAGGCGGACTTCATTTTGGTAATATCGTCTGTGAATATTTGTAGTCAATCGTGATTTTTTGTGTCATTAAAATAAAATTAACGTCCTTTAATTATCGAAAGCCAATCCTATTAAATCCGAATACGTATGCGTCGAAGAAGACTTTGGCACATGGAATGCTCGATTTAGCATTACTGTCAGCAAATGGCGCTCAATTAAAGTTATTATTATCGAATGGAAAGCAACAAGAATTCTATATGTTCCTATTGTGGCTGATTGCGACTTCAATAGTATTACAAGTAAAGTGAATATGCATTTGCAAATGAATTGCATTATGAAATATCACGCTTTTTTTTAGGTGGTGCAAGCTGTTGTATGTGTAGTTTTGGGCTTAATCTTTGACATAAATCACGTTGATGATCAGAAAAAAGCCGAGATCATAAACAATGTGTCTCTTGCCATATCGATTGTGGTGGTCGCAATCAATGTGCTGATTAGCGTCTTCGATGTAATTTCAACTTAAGGCAATTAAAGACATCCCTGAAGATATTAATAAAATATTTCACTTTTTCCAAACATCGATGGAACATTACACTAAAAATATGCAATAAAATGTTAATTATATCGAATTTGTTTTGATAAAATGTAGGAAATTTGAGTCTAAAGGTAATAGAAAATAATTATAGGAATATTTGCTTGCTCAACAAGCCATGCAAAAGTATACTTTTATGTATTTATAATCTAGCCGACACAGCAATAGGTACTTTGGCAGGGGCACAAAATTAGCTCCCAGCAGAATAACTTAATGTTACATGTATTATTATCAAAATCGAAAACTCAAAATTAAAACTAAAATGCTGCTGCGTTCTACTGCGTCTCAACCACGTATGTATTGAACCCATCGAAGTGTATTTGAAGCCCACAATCCAGGCCAAGTACTCAGTTTGAAAATAATTTTTGGCCAGTGGCCACCGCCAGCAGCCACTCACAAATCGACTCTTTTTCCGGCGTTTTCCATCACTTTTTGAAGCATTTCGGGTGCAATTTGGGCGATATCCTGGCGTATGTTGGCTTTAAGTTATGCGAAATTGTCAGGATTGTTGGCATAAACCTTGCTCTTCAAATATCCCCACAAGAAAAATTCGGGCGCAGTCAAATTCGGTGATCATGATCGCTGTTTTTCAAAATCAATCGTTGTGGTAGTATTCGAGTAGTGTTTCACGAGCAGTGTGGCTCGCGCCATTTTCATCTTCAAATAAGTACGGGCCAATGACACTTTCCGAGCAAACACCGCACCATACAGTAACTTGTACGGACCAAACACCCAACATTAACACTGCCACACAGCGTAAAATTAGCTTCGTCAATCACGACTCCAAATTTCACACGGCTCCAAAAGAAGGGCCAGTTTTTGAATGGCTGGCACTAGCCGATTTTTTTTCAAAAAGGGACTGAACAAATTGTACAAGTCTAAATTTACCGAAAATAAACAGAAACCAAAGAATTTTTTGTATTTTATCCATTTTTTTTTTTGAAAAAAACTTCGGGTACCACAAAATAAATCGCCCTGTACAAATCATACCTCTTTTCCTGTGTCGATTGTTCGTCTCCAGACTAGGGTTTAAAAACGCGTTATTTTTTCAGTGTTTCCTAAAAACGTTTTTTTACAGAGCCTTTATATAACGCCCAAAAAACGTTTTTTTCGTTTTTTATCGTTATTTCTGCAGTATTTTGGACTGTCAAAAAGGAAAGAAAAATAACGTTTTTATAACACCGTTTTGCGGTATTTGTCGAAAAGTTTGTAAACCCTACTCCAGACGAATTGCAAGTTTTCCAACTTAGTAGAAAAAATCCCAATACATTACAAGAATATCTTGGGGTGAGCGTTCCGTTTGCTCTTGTTCGAGGGATGCGCCTATCTGTGTAATTTGTTGTTGTAATTTGATAGTTCGAACTCCCACCACTTACGTGTACAATGCAAATCAAATGTATTTCAGTGTAGCGCTAGTAGCATGTAGTTTGCTCTCGCTCTTGTTTTGGCTTGTTGAACAGAACCGATGCGGACATACTATCTGTCATAATTCGTTGGCGGAATTTAAAATTGCCTCTCACCAGCCCATTGATCTTCTCCATATCAAAATATAAGAAAATAATGTGCCCGAATCTCGTCGCGGTGTGCATAGAAGTCATTCTGTTCCCATTTCTCCTCACTGTCTGGATTTATCGATTTGTTGGTGAGAGCTAGGGGCATTTCTCACGAAAAGAATGAATGAATTCTTATAAATTTTGACAAATCTCTTCCGTTCGGTCCGATTCGATCAATTTTTATCAATTCGTGTAAATAAATGTTCATTTACACTGAACTTGTGTTCTGGAAGTGGGTTTTGGTGGATCTCAAGGATCGTTCAGAACTGCTCCGGTTCTGGAAGTGGATCTTCAGGATGGGCCAGGGCATTGTCAAACCGGATCTGGTCCATCCTGAGGATCCCCCAAAACCCACTTCCAGAATCGGGAGCAGTTCTGAACGATCCTTGAGATCCACTAAAACCTACTTCCAGAACACTTTTATTCAAGCAATATCGTCATTTCAGTACATTTTCTTACAATTTCAATAAAAAAGAAGAAATAATAGACATTTTTGCACATTTGCTCAAATTGTTTGTGTGAGAAATGCCCCTAGGGTGAGAGCTAGAAACAATTTCGTGCCGATTGGAATTTGTTTCAGTTGAAATGAGTTCATTGGAACCACTGCGAAATTGTTAACACTCGGCGGATAAAATGTACTGCGGCATCATACGATCTCGCTTGTGTTTCTTCCCCTGTATTTCCAAGCCCACAGTGTCATTGTGAAACTGTTCAACAACGCGTTGAATGCAACAAAACATGTACATTGTACAGCGATTGAAACTAATGAGTTGTAACGAAATCAAACATGTTATTGTTTTGTGGACCACCAATTTCTCGCAATTGCTTCTGGAAATATTCATACAACAATTCCTTGTAGTCTTGTTTCGGTGTTGGTTTTGTACACACCGTACAACTCGTTGAAGACATTTCCCAGGGCTTCAGACTGTGGCCACTGGAAGTCGATGCCGATTTCTTTTTGAACCATTTGGCGATATTCAATGGGCGTTTTCATCCAATTTTCGAGTTTGTTCTTTTTTGGTTCGACAAAAGCCACAAAACACAGTTTGATCACTTTTCACTGTCCTGTTCGAAATAGCCTGTATCGACACCATTGATCTTATCGTCCGTTGCACGATTCACTTGATACTTCTGATGACGATAGCTTTTTCACTAAGTCCCGTGAAAAAATCTACAATCATAGATTCTGACACTAAATGTCAGTCATTTCGTGACTTTTTTTGAGGTTATGTCGGTCATTTTGCTTATTTTGACCAAAATTCTAAAAAAAATTGCCGATATTTTACATAATATGTTGTATTTAGTTCCATCCTTTAAATATCAGATGGTTTTGTATCCATTTTCAATCACCTTTGATGGAATTTTCCATCATTTTCCCACGCATGAATCGGAGCCCATATGCCATGGCCGATTGGCCGTTTTCGGGACGTCCAACAGCTTTACAGATAATTGTAAAAATGCAGAAATGCTCTAAAGAGCACCCAAAATAATAAATAATATCAATACAAATCACAAACATGTCAATAGCCGCATTTTTTGCATAAAACTGTGAGTGCATCTATAATTATTTCGCACTTTCATAACGCCAAAAACAGAAAAATCACCAAAAAATAGAAAATATGAAAAAATAATATAATGAAACTGCGACAACATTTGCGTTTATTTTTAAGAAAATTGAAAAAATGAAAGTGCGCTTATAATTATTTCGCGGAATGTATGATATCAATTGCAATCAACAAAACCGAACATTGATACAATTATGCCAACTTCTTAAAAAGAATCACAAAAAATCAAAACTAACTACATATCCGAAAACCTTTTCCAGGCCGTGAGAAATCATACGGCACTCATAACAACAGAGCCATGAATTGAATTAATCAAAGTTATAGTGGAAAATACGGACGGACGGACGGGCATATTTTCGGTTTTATTTATACTCTATAATCACACTCCTACTGCCCAATGCAGCATCCAATTTTATATTCGGTTCAAATCCTTTTGATGGATCCTGAACACTTGTGCATGTTCAAATAAAACAAAATCTAAAAACGGTATGTGCGGCTGCATGTTTTTTTCCGCGTTTTGAATTTGTTTTCTCAAAAAATGTTGTAATTGCAACCGTTCAAAAACTGCGCGAGCCTGCGTTCAATAATCGCGATTCGGGTAAGCAAAAAGATTGAAATATTGAAATGTAAATTGGTTTTGAGGGACACAGTATATGGCATAACGGACATTGGAAGACCAAAGTGCAGGCAGTTTTCGAATATATTTATATTCGTATTAAGATTTTTATTAATGCTATTTACAATGTGTTTATGTTTATATCGGTTCACATCTCAAGCAATAAAATTCCGTGCATATAAAATTTATTTAAGTTTCCCCATTGAGTCAACGATAGAACCATTCATCGAAAGAAGATATAGAATGGAATGAAAAAAAAAACAGAAATAGCGCAGAAGCATGAGCACAGAGAAGGAAAACAAGGTTACCTTTTGTGCATTGCAAATGCCAAAAAACAAAAGAAATTCGAATATAACATCATAAAATTAGTTTTACAATTATTCGAAATAAAATGGTTTAACGGCAAAGGCTAGAATGCAAAATGCTTTTAACATTTCTTTTTCCCCCTACTTTGACAATAAATTCCAGGTATAGCCATTGCACGCAATTTGTCAAGAGCTTCGGCTCTGAGTGAAATCACCTACGATTTTACGCTTTGTCTTCGTCGTTCCTTCTTTTTCTGCATTTTTTTCCCTTGTTGTTGAGATTGTTTGCTCAATTGGTCTTATTTAAGAGCAATAAACATATGAAAATAAGGAAATATTGTTTTGTCAATGGTGTACTGTCTTCTTCTGTCATCTATTACAGCTGATCTGTCTGTTTGCATTTCAATATTTAAACCCAATAATCTTTCTCATCAGCCATTTTTATCATAACTTCAGTGTCATATAATAATTTCCATTGTCTATACAATTCTTACTTATTACAGCCATATGCTTCGCAGCTTAAATGTCGAATGTATGAAGGTAGTAATGCGTCGGTCGACCGGTCGCGAGGCCTAAAATTTATTTATTTATCATTTTATTATTGACAATTACAGTATTCATCCTGTCACTTTTGAACTGTCGGTGTGTCCTTTGAACTTTTGACTTTTCGGAAATCACAAAAATCACGTACATATGGAAAAGAAATAGAATGGTCGAAAATCTTGGCCGATGAGCAATTCTTGACGCCGATGTTTTACCCTAAAAATGCATTTTTTTCTCTTGCTTTTTTCGGTGTGTACGTGGTGTAATTCGTATTGCAATAATATGCTCTTTTTCATGAGTTTTTTTTATATTTTCCTCATTTCCATCGTTTTTTTCCTCTCGTCAGTGTAAGGTTTTCCTATTCCCAGCTGATAACGTAAATTTTGTTGTTTTCGCCATTATTGTCAGCGTTTTCCGCTTCATGTGGCAGCTATCACTCGGAAGATAAAC